GGAGTACATCTGGTACCATGACTGCAACAATACTTGGACTGTAGAGCGGCATTTTTCCATAAATTGCCACACATCAACAATGGACACTATCCAACCTTTGTTTACATAAGTAGGTTAAAAGGGTCAAAAATGTATTATTGAAAATAAACAACTTTTACAGGAAAGAAGCTTCAAACATGTCGAGGTCCAAGACCCTTGTTATACACGTTTTTGCGGCCTCTAGTTGCGCTTTCTTCATAGATTTCTCCTGCTGAGTCCAGTGGCGGTTCAGAAGGGGTTTGAATCATTTGCGGAATGATTCCTTTCACTCCTTATATGACACTAAAAGTCGTCCTTAAGACAGAGCACTACTGCATAGCGACTAATACACGTTCCTATTCTTCCGTTACCGTTGAGAATTTCAGTTGTCAATAAAATGGTACATGAAGCAGTAGTTTATTCCGATTCTTTACAAACCCAAATGGGTTCCGCGTTATTGCTCTTACCATCTTCTTCGATCATCAAGCAAAAGACGAGGTTGATAAGGAGATTTGCTTTACATCGTCTCAATCGTTAGCCATTAGAATTTTATAGTATTCAAATATAACGTACTTCATATAACTCACTGACTACATGATTACCAATGGGAGGCACAAATATCTCTAGACATCTGAATGGACAGAAAACCTTTTCTACGACACGAGGAAAAATAAGTTGAAGAAAAATGAATGGGTAGGAAAATGAGCGAAGGCATTTCTAGCAATATGTGAATAGTGAATCGTCATTTATTGACGAATCAAATGAACAGTGAATTTTAAATTTCAAATGAATCAAATAAGATTTACATCGCACATTAACGTAATTCACTGCAGACACTGGGCACTGATCCTCGCCGCGGACCGATCAATACTCATGTTTTGTTCATCGTTGGTGATTTGCATGCGAGCTTATCGAAACAATTTGATAATACTTTGTGAGCGACTTATGGCCAAAATCAGTACGCAGTTCTTCCAATGACAGAAGAAGGTTCTGGATAATTAGTGAATAGATTAAGGCACGTTGGTACGGAAACAATTGTTTGAGCAAATAAAGATCATTATAACATTAAATCATAAATTCTGTATTTATCTTCAACTACATCTACTCTATCATACACTGCAGTAGAAAAACCATGAACGAACAAAGACATTGCCACCAATAAAACGTTCAAAACACTTCGCTTCCAATGAGCAATAAAAGACTGTATGACGAATATAACAGTCAGCAAGAATGGCATTCACACAGGCTACAGGAAGGTTACACACTTACTCAAATTCTGGTAACCTGCTCATCGTCAGATGACGTCCTCCCTCCAAGACGATATACCAGTTGATCGGCTTCACGTCTAACTTTCTCTGATGGATCGTGTTCAGAAATGTAAAAAACTTGGTTGATGATTCGGGAATTCTGCAACTGCATAACTCAGTGAGATAAAGATTATGCGGCCACTTTACTTGAGAGGAAGATATTCCTTTTTGGAATGTTCCATCACTGCCTAGCATCGTAGATGAAATACTGAGTAGGAAAAACTGAATAGGATGCAAACACGCTTCGTAAGGCAAAAGCCCTCCTAAGTCTATGTCCTTTTAACAAAACACGAACGAAACATTGGAAACAATATGTCCGAAAACTCCCATTATCTTGTCGATTTCCTCACGTTTTTCTTATCTCGACTAAATAGAGACCTCAGCAGAACACCATATGCTATAAGAGAATTTATAATAAGCAAAAAATTAGCCCATTTTAGGATCTCGGTTCACCACCTTAATCTTATTTCTTATTGATTCACAGATCTTAGAACAGTTTGCCCTGTTCCGCTCGCTCATTCTTGACCATGTAATCTAATGAATAAAAATTTATCACGAAGTGAAAAAAATCGAACTGACGCCAATGACGGTGAGCGCGCAAACGGCTCCAAGGCGACCAAGTTCTTCATCGGCTTCTAGTAGGCAAAGATAGGAGGAGATCAAGTCTGACTGAAGTTGGCCTCGTGCTGACGACAGATAGCGTTCTGTAAATTATTGTAGATAAGCCTATTTATAGTTTACCATGTAGTCATGAATGGTCTTTCAGTGGGAATTAACATAGAGTTTCCAGAATTTCTTGTCCGAACAAGTGGAACCTCTCCCAACAGAACGCCGTGGTGTCTCCAAATGTGTCACTGATACTGCGTCTATTGCCCTCGTATTTAACAACTGCTTCCAAGAAACCCAATTTCCTCAATAGTTTTTCAAATTTAGATTTCCCTCAGCAACATAACCACCTCATAAATGCTTCTTCATTCCTATGTAGATATTTTATAACCTATAACCTAATAATAATATTATCCTTTCGCGCATATCAAGGGCATTGAGTGAGGCGCAACCAGTCGAGCAAGCAAGATTTCGAAAAGGATTTTGCTGCATGGACCACATCCAAACCGTGTCCAGGGTCATTGAAGTTTGTCGGGAATATCAGTTGCCTCTTGTCCTCACCCTTGTCGACTATGAGAAAGTGTTTGGTAGCGTTGAAACGAATGCAATCCTATCAGCGCTCGTCGACCAAGGAGTGGACTCGTCCTACATAAGGACTCTGTCCGACTGTTAGCGGAACTGCACTACGAAAATACAGCTTTTCCATCGAACTCTTACAATACCCATAGGAAAGGGGCTCGACAAGGCGGCACAGTATCGCCAAGGCTGTTCAGTGCTGCACTGCAGTGGACAACGAAGTCACTCGATTGGGATGAAAAAGGCATACGTATTGATAGAAAATTCCTATCAAACCTTCGTTTTGCCAACTACATTGTCATCTTCTCAAGAAGTACTAGCGAAGCAGAGGTGTTGATCAACGAGGAAAAAAATCGGGCTGCGCATAAATCGGAAGAAGATTCAGTTCATGAAAAACCCCTGGTGCAAAGGCAAAAAAATTGAATTGGATGGCTCTCTCATTGCAGAGATCACCTTCGTACGTTTACCTTGGGCGATCAGTGAACATGGAAAACAACATTAAGGATGAATTAGATAGAAGAAGGAGAGCAGCTTGGGCTGCATTCGGGCCTCTCAAAGAAGCCGCCGACCAACTGAGGGACCCGAAAATCCGCGCTCATCTCTTTGATTCTACGGTCCTCCCAGCGCTCTGTTATGCTGCAGAGACGTGGGTTGATACTTCAACTACGTCAAGAATGCTTCGAACAACTCACATAGCGCTTGAGTGATGTCTTCTGAAATATAACCGGCACTCTCAATATGTAGCCGGAAAGCGAAGCTCTGACCCTCGAAATTTGTCACATCTTCGAGATCCAGGAGAATATACATCGATATAGATGGGCCGGTCCCATAATAAGAAGAACAAGACAATGGAGAAAACAACAGTAGAGTGGACTGCAAGAGATTGAAAATGTCCCTTTGGACGACCACGTACACGTTGGGTGGACGTGTTCGTAAACAAAGTTAATCAGCTGTACCCGCAGCTGCAGTTGTTTTACAGATCACGGTATGAGACTTGCAAGCGCTACCAAGCTCGAACAAGACTACCACCATGGACTACGATTGTGAGAGAAGGAAACGAACAGCGTATGTGCTGGGGTCCGCACAGCTCGTGAAGATGGACCGTCCAAGTATGCAAGTAAGTATAACCTAATAGGCATAATAGTACAACGTGAATAAATGAATCTGTAAACGAATAAATGAGGTATTAACAGCGAAGAACGAAAGCTTTCACCAAGTATTCGTCGATTTTGTTCATCACCATCGGCCAGAATGATGCCGATCTGCTTCAAGCTCTCCAACGGCGGAACAATCGGAACTCGTGACAGTCGTTCAGCCACTTGTAGTACCCGTGAGGCTTGCCCACTAGAGAGCAATGAAACCATCCACGCTGAAAATTGAAGTGTTCTAACAGGAAAAAAATATAGTGGCTTTATTATAATGTCTGAAAATCCATGAAGATAATCTCACACGCTAGTAAGCCAAGAGTTCAGAGCTATCCCTTATTCGCTAGGCTTAGGTAACCACCTACTCACCCTGCTATTGATATTTAACAATACTGGGCTGGAGAAGTACACCTGTCAAAAGGTAGAAGCAGTGGTTCTCCTTAACTCACTTTCCAAATAAGTCGAAACTTGGCACAATCACTAAAAGTCTCCTACTTTGAAGATGTCAAAAGATTTATTTCCGATTGCTCCGTATGGAACTAAACATGTATGAAACAAAATAATACTGGCAATGAACACAGAAATCAAACTAAACATTCAGCTTGAAAAAAAGAACTTAGGCAATAAATAATTGTCATAAACGGAATCGTAGCTCTATTGAAAAGTATCTACCGTAACAAACTGTACTAACGGAGAAGGAACGATGAAAGCTTATCTTCACTAAACTCACCATCGTGACCAAGATTTTCCACATAGGACTCAAAGTGTCGTCCTTTAAAAATCCCAACGAAGTGGAATACAGTCACAGTTTTCATCTCTTCTTGCGCATAGTCGGCCATTAGTCGAATGATTGAATCGGCAACTAAACGTAGAAGTGACGATTTTTCCATTGTCACCCAAATCTATTGAACACTATGCAGAAGTATATGTATTGACCAGGTTGTGGCAAGCATTCAGTGGCACCCAATTTCGCGATCTATCGCCTGCGAAGGAAGCAGAGAAGTTTGTTCTTGTGATAAAGATTCATATCGACCTGATTTCAGAACCAGTCGATGTCAATGACGTTTTTTAGATATATGGGGAACCATAAAATTGTAGTTAAAACAATTTAGCTCTAATAAACCATTTTTATACAAGATAGCTGTATTAATTTTGATTAAGAGACTTTAAGATAAGACGAGGTACTTGTCAATACGTATGTACAGTACGAAACGAATCACGCATCAAATCAATATCTATTTCGACCATGTGCTTGCCGTAGTCAACTATGTCTATCAAAAAATATAGAAGTGCTCTTCTTTGAATTCATAACTAAAACCGAATCACCTAAAAGAGACAAAAAAAGAAGAGAGCTACCTCTGTTGACGAGATGCGGATAGCTTTGTTCGACGATATGAGCGATATTCAGCTTCACTTGTGTTCGAAGATCATCTCTTGGTACGAGTAGTTGGGTATGAAGCGGATAACAAGTTGATATCCAGATTTCTTTTACTGACGGATCGGCACCAATTTCTGTCAGCACTAAACAAATGACATTGCTCGGTGGATTTATTTAAAATTATAGTCAATATTCACAAATTTGACCTATGTTTTGCCTGTTAAAGAAGCCATGAAAATTTCATGAACCTCTGAATAAATCTGTTTTCATTCTTTTATAAATTTTTGCAAAATATCTTATTTTATCTAATCTATATATCTATATCTAATATCTATCTATCTATCTAATCGATATTTATCTATCTATATATCTAAAATATCTTATACTTGTATGGGAATTCAAACGGAAATGAAGCACATCACATTAACCTTTAGTGACATTTGGAACAGCAGGCACAGTGTTGGCGATTCGTAATAGACTGTCCAGAGTCACCGTCTCCGTTTGCAATCTCTTCAGTGTCTCCGTGGATTTATACACAAGTGGATTTTCCACAGAGATCGTTTCCAGGAACTGTAATAAGCTTTCAGTTAGAAAAATATTAAGGATCTATAGGATCTTGACTAAGGGTCTACAAAAAGGATTTTCATTGGTGTTAAATGAACACCGTGGAGAAAAACGAATCTTCTAAGAGACAGCGTAAAGCAAACGAACCATATTTAAATGCGCAAACAAATCAAAAAGTGCCATCTAGTAGTTTGACTTTTAAGACTGATAGTGAGAATTCTCCACTTATCACTCCTCTTTACAGCAGGACAGCAAAATCATTCAAGAGTCAGGAAGAGTTTTCCTACTTATACATAAACCAGTTTAAAAAAAAAGCATAACTAATTGAATTACCGCACCTAAAGGAAATTAATGACGACCAATAAAACATCGCCAATCGAATGAAGGAATTTGATAAAAGTTCAAGCAAACAATATCGCAACTCACCTGCACGCATTTATTCACTCTCAATAGGTGATACCGTAAGCAAACGTCGATCTCGGCGTTTCCAGTTACGGTACCTTTGGTATCATCGTCGGGAGCTTCCCAGAACCGATCACTTTCTAGGTACATCCGCTCGAGTTCTGCAGGATCCAACATAGCACCGAGCGATTTTCGCCGCTCTTTCATCTGCAACTTTTCCCATAACGGCTAATAGCTAAAAAACAAGAAAGAATGATCACTACGCTGTTTAGATTAGTGCGCACCAAATTTGCACACAACCCAAATTCAACGCTGGTAATCGTCAACAGAGTCCGACGAAAAGGAGATTTGCTACAAGAGTAGATGATTAGAAAAACCAAATCTTAGTCATTTCGCTGCGATGGCGTTTTTGTGAACGAAAGTAAGTCTTCGGAGAATCGAAAGGGACGACGTGGTTTTAGAAAAGGAAAAAATGAAGTTGTACTTACAATAAGTTTATGGTTTAAACAAGTTTAGGCGAGACGTATAAAACCAGTAGATCAATCGCAGAAATTATGAATGTCCTCTTGAGACTAGTAGAAGAATAGAGAACGGTCGCAAAACTTTTTCTTCGAAAACGTCAACCAAAATGGTCAAATTCCCAATAATTGGATTGAACCGTAAACAGTTGTGGATGACGTTGCGTTAAAGGTGGGCCAAGACCAATAAGATCTGTGCTAGATTAGCCGATTTCAATCGTAAGTGCTTAGGTTGAAAAAAATCATCGCCTTCAGACAATTTTCCCTCCAAAGTAGGTAGCCTCGGTAATATCATATCGATGAATATCTATTAAGTGTTATCGATCACCTGCTTGAAGCGTTTCCCGTCTCTTCGCCCAGCACTCTCCACAAACTTTTTGTGCACTCCGTCATTCGAGAACGGTGAAGAGTGCTGTCTCAACGAATCAATACCACTGTCATTCTCAGAACTGAAAATGTCTTCATAAAGAGGAAGTAAGTGAGGAAGCGTGCTATCAGTGCAACAACAACAGCTGAAGCATAATTTCTATTAACTTCGTTGATTTAATAGAAGTGAGAAAAACTCCTATAAATAGCAGATAAGCGGAAAAATCTAAAATAACACCTTTAGAGATTAAAAGAGAGAGTCTATGTCTTACTGAAAATCTCCGACCATCAAAACGTTGTCGTCTAATTCTTCGCTGGCTGTACTACTTGGTGTGTGGAAAAGTGATGATCGTGTCATTGAGCTACGATGGTTGTTGCGCCGCTGAAACAAAACTATCGGTCTATTTGAAAACCTAAGGAAAGCAACGTTTTTCAACGATTAGAACCTCTCAGAAATCCCTCTCATTTAAGTGCACAATGATTATTGAATTTAAATGCAATTAATGGAAATGTGTAAATGTATAAATATCATCCCTCCAATAGTTTACCGCCCTATCGTGGCTGCAAGATGTGGAGGATTCCTAATTAACGAGCTGTGATATATAGCAAGGATTTAATCTCCAGGAAGCGTCGCCCGTGCTGTGGAGCCCGATATTTCCACCATCAAATCCAGCTGAGACTAAACCTAACCTAACTCATTGCAGAGTCTGGAGATACTCGAACTTGCCCACTTGTTAAAAAGAAAAGAAAAAATAAAATGCCTTTGATAAAAAGTGTGACGTTTTACAGAGTCCTCAATCATGTGGACCGAAATGGAAAACCCTGATGTGTAAGAAAAGTATTAAAGCAAACGAGTTCTATTGATGAGCCATTTATCCTATCAATATAAGATCTTCCCAATTGCAAGCCTAACATTTCGATTCTTCTCCGATAATCCTTCATAGAATCCATACATATAAGACTAGAAATTCCTGAAGGCTTAGTCAAATGAACGATAAGACTAAGCTTCACGCAGTTCCATGCAGATGAATAGACAAAAAATATAAGACAGCATTTAAAAAAGGCAGAGATTTCCGTACAGCATGGATTTAAGGGATAACTATCATCCTCTTTCAACTGAAAACCCCACTTTCATATCACGTTAACTCACATTAAGCATCAAACGAGACCTAGAAGTCTTTCATGTTCAAATTCCTATAGCCTGGTTTAATATGGCATATGTGATCCACATGGAGAAAGCTAGACGAACAACAAAAAGGCAAAATTTTTATTAGAAAACTAACCTGCAATATATTTTGCCATCGTTTCAATGTTTCGGTTAACGTCTTTAATTCTAAATAACGACCAGCCACTAATCGATTAAGCATTGGAATCAGACGATCAATGGTTTCGAACATCTCAGACGAAGAGGCTGACTTATTGCTGCTCGTTTCCGAAGGTGTCGTGCTGCCAAACCTAGAATACGGCTGCTTTACTTGAGCACCCTATCACATAAGAGTACGTAGGAACATAATAGAAGATAGATGAAAATTCATTTGTTAGTGCCAGATTTACAGTCTCCCTCCTGTTCTCAGTAGTCAAAACCGCTTCATCATAAATAGGGGTTTCTTGGGCAGCAAACTACAATTTGCAGCTGAATGTTCATCTCTTAGATCCAAAGATTCCCTAAAACATGGAACAGTTAGACTTTCCATCCGGAAGACCAGCTTGGAGTAAGCCATTGTCAGTAGTAATGGTCACTGATGCAACAACATAGTCAGCCCCTGGCAACGACGAAGTCATACTGTCGGCTTCCGCACTCATAGATGACCTGAGCAAGACGTAACACGATTTCAAGAATGTTATTTCGTGATTAGTGAAAGTATAACAGGATATCTGAGTATTTAAGCAAGCAAGAAGCTAAAGAATATCTGCTACAATGACAACAATAGTCTATCATAAATATTTAGAAAACGTGAGAGATTACGGTAGAAACGAACCGCTTGTTAAAGGCTCTAATACTTTCTGGACTTTCAGAAGGTGTGGCGGCAAGATGCGCCATACTGGCCGAACGACGACCACCTTGACGCACTGGGCTGATCGACGCTGTTGAACGACGTAAATCAAATGTAGACATCTACAATCAGAATAAGATTTATGACAGTTATATACTTTTTACTAACATTACCTTAGTACCATAATATTAGATTAGTGAAAAATCAATTAGTTACGGATGGCGAAACTTCAGTTATGATAACGAAGCTCGAACAAAGCCATTAACCATAGTGACGAACACTAATAGATAATCGTTATTCGTTCTGATAGAACAGAACTCTGAAGCTCTCGAGGCGGATCCGAAATCTTCCAAGTACTTTTTTATTATGGTAACATTCTTCATTTGCGTTTTTACTCCAAATTCGTTAGTTTAGTATTATTACGAATAAATACGCTGCTATTAAAGTGTAGAGATATGTTCTAAGTTTTATTAACTGCTTAATCCTTTGCCACGGCACGGAATTATGTAAAATACAACAACAAGGATGCAGATATATGAGCAAAACTTGCGTGCTAACCGCCACAACAACCAAGGCCCTTGCTTCGGCTTTCTCTCAGTCATATTTGTCATGGATTGCGAGTTTTTCCCATACCTCGTCATCCTTGTGGTTGCATTTCACATAGCACCCTACTATCAAAAAAGAGTCGTCACTAGATGAAAGATAAGAGATTGCGATTTCAACTGCAGCTTCGGCGTAACTGGGTGGTTCAATCCCGATATGTGTTCCCCAGATCACTGCCGTTGACCGATTATTGCTGATAGCATTGTTAAGGTAAGGAAGGAAGAAAAATCAAGGGTTTTGGTTGGCGTGATGGGTAGCACGTGAACCCCAGTAAGTGTAGTCGCGTGTTCGAAGTCGAACTGAGGACCTGAGTTTTGCTGATATCCCAGCATCTACTGATTGTACAAAGATGAGGCTCCAAATATCGTCTTCCCATAAAATACAGGAACGGAGTTTTCTCTAAATAACTATGGAAATTGCGCGTACCACAAAGAAACACTTTCTATCTGACTATACCAAATTTAGTCCTGTTATTAAACTGCCTGCCATTTGATTATTATCAGATTTTTTTTTCGAAACCGACCTTCCCTAAACCTCGGTGTGACTAATCAATAATTCGGCTAAGCCGAAAATAAATATATTTATCAACCTCGTGCAAGCTTATCAAGAAAGAATACATATTATCAGATTGCTATGGCATTGTTAATGAGGAGCTGAATTCCACCTAATATGCAACAAAAAATTAAAAAGTGACGCAATTTTTTCCAAAAAAATTGTTTCATAATATACGATACGATGGGTCGCATAAGTCTTTAGGTAGCAAAACCTACGTGCCCATTCCACCGAGCTGACCTATTTTCGTATAAGACAAATCGCTAAGGAAATGGCTCGGAAAAAGGAGAGAACCCATTTCTAAGAAAAACAAGAACTATTCCTCAAACTCTTAACCTTTTTAATTACTGCTTATTCTTTTTAATGGCATGGTATGTTGCAAAATATAACTTCCATAGTGCTGAGATATTTGCAAAACACCGGACCGCAGGTGTCTGTGGTGGGAAACGAACGCGCTATTGTCCTTTCCGGGGAGTAACGCGTTCACCTCCATACCATGCGGGTCTTTCGTTTGGCCGGTCTCTCAACTAGTTCTAATGATCTACAGCATCAGCAATCACATGTCAACGCTCAAATCTAGGGAGCTCAAATCGGCAACAAACCCAGTTAGGCTGAGAATTTCTCTGAAAGGACAATAGCGCGTTCGATCTCCACCGCAGACACCTGCGGTCCGGAGTTTTGCAAATATCTCAGCACTATGGGAATTATTCTTCAAACTATTCGTAAGAATAGGCCCTTGGTGAAACGGCGCAGCACGACACTACGCAGGTCTCGACTAAGCCGAACGGCGCTTTTACAAAAAGTTTTTCAGAAAATGCTAAATATTAAACGTACCGATTCTACTGTCGGAATTGTTTTGCTTACATCCTGATAAATACTATCAAGGAGTGTTGTCGACGATCGCCATTGCTCTTTCATCGCCACTCTAAAACGGAATTTCAAACAATCTTTGCTTAATCGTACATCTTTTGTAAAATCGCATTTTAAAAAACTGTTCTGTACTATACAACCATGAAATATGCGATTGTAAAAGCCTTGAGCAGGCTTTCATAGTATCAGGATTCCATTCCGGAAACTTCTACCTTTTTCTTTCAAGTACACCTCTTCGAACTTCGGACATTCGAATTAAATAAATATTGTTTGTCCTAGCTTTTACTTATTGCCTATTCTCCATTCATGGCAGAGTACGATGTGAAGTACAATCACAACGATACTGAAATATGAGCAAAACTCGATACATGACTTGGCGTTTGAACGCGCAATTACTTTTACCTGGGCTCACGTTCTCACTGTACCAACCAACGCCCCTGCTTAGGCTTTACCTCAACCATGTTTTTACTGTATTGGTGCTATGAGCAATGACCCGTCAACGGTAATGACCTAGACAGCACAAATCGTCGTTGAACACAGTTAAGCTGAAGCTATATTCGAAATCACAATGGCTTAATCTCACCAGATCCTTTCGGGGTGCTTGCTGATAGCAAAAGTAGAGTAAAAACAAGGATGAGAGAAAAGAAAAGTAAACGCCTGAAATCGTTTGGTGGATAGCATGTGAACCACAGCAAGGGTAATCACGTGAATAAAGTACACTTGACATTCTGGATTTTGCTCCATTCTCAGTACCCTTGTAATTGTATGTTGTTTGCTGTTATTTAAGCATTAGAAGAATGACGCATCTGGACGACTTCACGACCTACCACCAGCTCCAGATAGATGATAACTAACATCACTAAGCAAAAACTACTTAACTGCTATTCTAAAAAATTGGTACTTCCACTGACCTAGCCGCTGCTCCTCTCTTCTTTTCTCTTAACACAATTCGTGGTTTCTTTTCCAAGGTTTCCGCACTTGGTTCGGTATCCTTTTCTGATTTCGGTACCATTGATGGACGTGACGAAGTATGAGAAGCTAGCAAAGGGCTGAAACTTATTGAACAGTAGACCAGACACAGAACTTAAATTACTTTGAAGTCTAGGGTGCCCCACTACCTTAGCTTCATCCGAATTTTGTTCATTCATCTCTACACTGCTAAGAAAATTTTTCAAGTGACTGTCGGTCATTTCAAATAAAACCTGTGCTATTGTGGGTTTTTCGGAAATTAATCCTGACTTCGTTCTTTCTGTAAGGTGATGTCTTATTGTACTTTTCATATAGACCATTTTTTATTTTTAACCTTTATGAGTTTCAAGATCAACTCCGCTATCAGGCCAAGCAAGAAACATCAAATAGAGATGAAAATCAAGAGACGGCGACATTACCACCATCTCCTTTCCCAAAAACGTTCTTTAGACAACAGGACCCCAACGATGGAGTTGACATAAAATTCCGCGTGTTTTCGGACGGCGTTCTCAAGACCCTTGATCACTACCGCAATAGAAAGTTTATCTCTAACCTTACAGCCGCACAAAAATGTGGCATGCGGGAAATTAGAGAATTAATAAACTCGAAAACAATAAGATTGTCTGTTAGTGATAAGGGGAGAGTTCGTAGTTATCCCTTGCCAGCTGGATGTTGAGATAACAGAGGAACATCTTAGTGATGCTACTCTCTATCGCCCATCCTCTGAAAAGGAATATAAAAGTCAACACCGAAAGCTAAACAATCAATGGGTCAGCGTGGCAAAGGCTGCGGGTTTAAAATCATCGGTTATTTCGCACTTCAAAATCGATAGACCAACATGTCCCGTCCTATACCTACTTATTAAAACAAATAAGTTGGTATCACCTGATGATCATGCGTCAACCAATCCGTCATCATTTAAGGTTACACCGATCATCAGCTGTGTTGACGGGCCAACGGATAGAATAACTTGGTTTTTAAGCCTGATGCTTACCCAGGTGCTTAACCACATTCGAGCTGACCTCACAAACACCCAAATGTTCCTAGAACGTCTACGTAACGCGTCTCCTAAAAACCCGTACGTGATGGAGTCTTTCGACGTTACCGCACTGTACACCAACGTGTCGAATGACTTCGCAGTGCAAGCCATCTTAGAACTTCTTGTTGAACATGAAGGAAGAATAAATATGCATGGCTTGTCCATCCAGCAGCTAATGGCTCACTTAAAGGAGTGCCTAAACTGCTCGATTTTCAGATGGTCTGGGAAATATTTCGCACAAATAAGGGGGCTGGCAATGGGACAGCGATTGGCACTAAGCCTTGCCATTGTGTTTACGTCTAAGATAGAAGCCCCTGTTCTCGATCTCCGCCCACTACTCTACTGCAGATATGTAGATGATTGTTTTGTCGTCTTCTCTACGCAGGAGGAGATGGACAAATGCTTTGAATTACTGAACGAATCGTCCGAGTACATAAAGTTCACCCGGGAAAAACCGAGAAAAAACTGGCTTCCGTTTTTGGACGTTCGAATAAACCTATCAAGTAGCGGTTACCTGACAAAGTGGTATCGAAAGCCAAGTAACAAGAACATCCTTGTTCATTTCCTTTCTTCCCACCCTTCACACACAAAGAGGGCGATTGTGAGAAACATGTTTCGAACAGCCACCTCTGTGTGCACTACCAGGGAACTAAAGGAAGAATCGCGCGACTTGACTCGGCAAATAGCCACCTCCAATGGCTACGAAATAGTAACCCCACGAGATA